TTTTTTTTTTACAGCATTAGCACTGTCTTCACAGGTTGTAAATAATCCAGTATTGTCATCCAGCTCAGTGAAGGTAAGCTCAGCAACCTTCTGGGCCTGCTGCATGTCACTATAATGGGTTCCCATTGTCAGGCCCATCCTGAATGCCATATCTCCCTTAAGATGCTGTGGTTTAGAGAGTAGTATATAGACAAAGCAATGAAACTAGGGAAATATGCTGTGAATAGCAAAAAATAAATAAAAATAAAAGGTCCACAAGACCTATTAGACACCAAAAATGAACAAATGTTTTCAGTATGAGTACTTAAAAAGGATTTGAGATGGGAGAAGGCAATGAAGACATGCTTAACAAAATAACAGCTGAACTTTCCAAGTGTCTATTTGTTATTTCCTGATGCTAACACACACACACACACACACACACACACACACACACACACACAAAAGAGGTTCATTTTAGATCATGGTTCTAGGTTTGCCACTGGGCACAGCTCATGGGATATTTTATGGAATATGGGTTGGCAGCTTCTGACACATGATGTGGACTGGCTATGGGCCATCTGGCTGTTTTGTGGGCTTTAGGTGGACATATTGTTGAAATGGTACTATGCAGCGGCAGCTTGGAGAAAACAAGGCAGGACACAGGCTGGGCTTTCTCTCTCTTTCTGAAGTATTGCAGTGGTCTTAACTTCCCAGGAACTCCAGAAATGGGACTACAGGATTCTCCAGCGAGAAAGACTTTAGAAGGTCATGGAATTAATGGAGAGACAATCATATACACTGCATATACATTTCCTCTGTCGAGAGGTCATGCTTTGACTTAAGTTCATCCTCACTGGTGAGACAGAGTGCGAGAAGCAGGGTACTTCATTCAAGGCCTTTGAAAGGCTATCTTGCAACCCCATGGTCCACAGATCCTCTATCACATTCCCGATGCACTCCAGTGCTGGCTCTTAAATACTTCATTAAACAATCCTTTCCCATGCAAAGGAAGTATATCAACTATTTCATTGACATCAGTCATGTGGTAGATATAAATGTTAAAATCAAACAATATTATTTTTATGGTTATCTTAAGATTTCTGGAATGTGAGAGGTATGCTTAAGGTTTGTAAATCTGTTTCCAAATATTGATTGCAAAGAAAAAAATCCCTTTTAAAACTCCAATAAAAGTGCTTTCTGGCATTTTATACCTGTTCTTAACCAGCCAATATTTAGTGTTGTCTGATTCTTCAGATTCAAAGCCATAGCCAACCAATAAGACACCATGGTCCAGGTCTGTGCTGCTGCAGTTTGGATCAAAATAAATGCCTAGGAAAGGAAAATCATTGTAGGAGAGAGAAATACCAAGAAATGATTGGTGGTTACTAAAGTGAGTAACCCCATCACCCAGGGCAAAGGAGCATCTAAAAATTCAAATGAAATTCAAATTTCAAAATTGATTTTCATTCCCATTTAAATTTATAGTTATAACTTAAAAATAGTGTATTTAAAAGCTATAAGTTAATATCTGTTTATATAAGATCTAGTTTGAGGTTAGATTTTCTATCATTTAAAAGAAGGAATTTAGGTTTTGATCTAACACTAGCAGATATACAAAATACATGCCATTTAAACAGTTTGTCAAGAGGCATCAAAGAGTACCTTTTAAAAGCTCACAATTCTATTATCCAAGGGTATGAATTTAAAGAAATGGCATAAGACACAAAATTGCTTGAGCCCAGGGGTTCTTTTCAGTTTTAATATCAGACATAAATATCATTGGAAATTTTTGAAGCTCCAACAATTAATTGGAGAAAAGTTAGTATGTTAATCTTAAGTATAATGAAGTTTAAAAGAGTTCAGTATATTCAATATAGCATTAAATACATGTAAAATTAATAGACTTTAAAATTATTTCAAGTCAATGGCTCATGCCTGTAATATTAGCTATTCAGGAGGCTGAACTTAGGATTGTGGTTTGAAGCCAGCTTGGGAAAGCCCCAAGATCAGCACAAAAACAAATAAACAAAATTTTGTATTCAGAAGTACTTATCATTATGATGCTGTGTTAACGTAACTGGGAACAAATATTGCATGTACAGAAAGAACAGTTGTATTAAACCCCAAATATTTACACTGAGTTCTATATAGTGTCTAGGTGCTCTTATGGCACGGTGTCGTTCCCACTTTTCTGCCTAAAGTTGTATAGATAAATTCTTACCTGTTCCATAAAACAGGAAAGTTGGTGGTGAGGTATCAATAGCCACAGAAATGGGCCCAGCATATGCTAATGCCTCTTTAAGGATCTTCTCATCCTTAGGGATGTCCATGTAGCCACTGACATTAGCAGCAGAATGCTGGGGGTTGTATTTACAGGGGCCTTTCTTAAAGGGAAAGGGTAGAGGCTTGGTTACCATCAGCTATTTCCTGGGGGATAGGAGAATAGGAGTTTTTTTTTTATTTGTTTGCTTGTTTAGTTTGTGTCAGTACTGAGGCATAAATTGAGTCAGGGAACTACTCTTAGCTTTTTCATTCGAGACTAGTACTGTACCACTGGAGCTACAACTCCACTTTGGGCTTTTTTTGGTGTTAATTAGGGATAAGACTCATGGACTTTCCTGTCCTGGCTGGCTTTGAACTTCAATCCTCAGATCTTAGCATCTGAAGTGGATAAGATTACAGACATGAGCTACTAGTACCAACTTGAGTAGTAATTCTTAGATAACAAATCTCACCAATTTACAGCTTAGCAATTTACAAGTAAACTCCATTAAAAGTATCATCCCAGGAGGTTCAGGGCTATGAGTTGGTTTGAAATGAAGAACTTATCCCATAGTTTTAAGAAATGAGAGGCAAGCAAGAGAGACCAGTATGAGCTCAAGGCTTTATTAGGGGGCATAGCTGCCAGGCTGCTCCAAGGAAGAATGGAGGCAGCAGCCGTGGACAGGTGGAGGCTGAATTTAAACAAAACTTTAGGGGGCAGTCATCTGGGTCACATGGGCATTGCATGGGTCATATTATGTAGACTATGAGAATTTGGGAGTAGGGTCAGTTCCAAGAAGAGGTGTCATGAAGAGGTAACGTGGACTTACAGGAACTGAGGGGAGAGTCACATTCTGAGAAGGAGTGTAGTGAGATGGTTGCAACTGGGGCAGGAATTTGTATGTCATACTGGGAAAACAGTACAACAGTACAGGTTGGGGTCCGCTTTATCTGGCGAGCTGACTCTGAGACCTTAGAAGAGTGTCTTCATAGAAATTTTTCACTATGAAAAAAATCTGTATTCCATGCAATATTGTAATATATACACATATATATTTCAGGCAGCATGAAACAGCTATACATTAATCATTTAGTCAAAGTCTTATAATTTATAAATGACAGCTCGAATAATTTTCAGATTTGGAAACTACCATCTAAAATGGAAAAATGGAAACTGGGAGCCTATGGTTCACACCTGTAATCATAACTACTCAGGAGGCTGAGATCTGAGGGTAAATGTTTGAAACTAGCCCAGGCTTCTAGAAAACTCTATGAGACTTTTATCTATAACTAGCAAAAGGCCAGAAATGGAGGTGAAGCTAGAGTGGGAAAGTGTCAGTTTTGAGCAAAATAGCTAAGGGACAGCACCCAGGGTACAAGTTCAAACACCAGTACTGATATAAAAATAAATAAATTAATAATAAATAGCTGGGTGCCAGTGGCTCATGCCTGTAAAACTAACTATTCAGGGGGCTAGGATCTGAGGCTCATGGTTCAAAGCCAGCATGGACAGAAAGTCCCTATGAGACTCTTATATCCAATTAACCATTCAAAAACTGGAAGTAGAGCTATAGCTCAAAGTAGTAGAGTGCTAGCCCTGACAGCTCCCAGACTCTGAGTTCAAGCCTCACAACTGATCAAAGAAATAAGTAAGCAAATAAATAAATAATAAAATAAAATGGAACTGAAACTGTTTCTGAAACTGTTTCATGTTCCCAGCACAGGGTGGGAATGGTAACAACATAAGGAGCTCCATTTACCCCTTCCTCATATGGATAGGACGTCTCTGTGTCCAGGCCTTTGTTTTCAATAACATACTGGAAAGCGAAATTCATCACACCACCATTGCAGCCCTCGTTGCCTTCAGACCAGGAACAGTCCACTAGGTTCTGCTCACTCAGTGAGATCAGTTGGCCAGTTTTCCGGAACATCTGTCCTTCTAGGGCCCCGGTTGCACTAAAAGCCCATGAAGCCCCACATGAAAACTAAAAATATAACAACAACAACAACAACAAAAGCTGTCATTTGCAAACCAAGTGTTGTGACCTTCTAAATATCGGTTCATATATATGATCTGTATATGTGATATATTGATATAATCTTATTAATCTAAAAAGTTATGTTAAGTAACTCAGGCTCAGAGAGACAAAGGGCTTATGCTTTCTCTCCAATGTGGAAGTTAGATCTAAAATGCAAATATACATGAAAGCCTATTCAGGCTTATATATTCAATGTACATTAGGTAAAACGTGAACTATATAACTTGAAGGTGAGGATGGGAGGGGGAAATGGGAGAGAATGATGGAAGGAATAACATTGATCAAGATGCATTATATTCATAACCTGACTTATAGAACTGAAATCTTTTTGTACAACTACATAACAAAAAACTTTTTCTTTGTCGGTCGTGGGGCTTGAACTCTGGGCCTGGGAACTGTCCCTCAGCTTTTCAGTTCAAGGTGAGAGCTCTACCACTTGAGCTACAGTACCACTTCTGGTTTTCTGGTGGCTAATTGGAAATAAGAGTCTCACAGACTTTCCTGCCTGGGCTGGCTTTGAACCTATACCCTCACATCTCAGCCTGAGTAGCTAAGATTACAGCCATGAGCCACCGGTGCCCAGCTTAACAAAAACACATTTTAAAGAAAAACAAACACCAGTGAACTGTGTATAGCTTCCTAGTTTACCACATCTGTGTGGAAATAGAAAGTCTGAATCTGACAACTGTCATACCTGATGCTTCACAGGAACGACGTAGCCTCTTTCTCTCCAATCTATAGATGAAGGGATGTTTATGAAGTCAGAGTCCTGGAAAATATTCTCCACTCTATGTTTCTTGATTTGAAACCCATTCATCATCAACCTGAATTCTTCAGTAGTCTTCCAGGTAAAGGTAAATAAAATGGTGGAAGAACAAGATATTATTTTGGGAGAGACTGAGGAAAGAAAGCCCAGAGCTAAGTAATGCACATGACACTCACCATGTCCCCAAAGGCATTCATTGCCATAGTGAAGCTATGTTTCCCTCGGTTGTATTCTTCATTGTGCAGTTCAATCATTTTCAGATTTGTCTCCCATAGTTCTCTTCTCCATTCTTCTTCATTCTAAAGGCACATACATCTGATGGTCTTTATATCTACTATAAACTCAACCTATGATTACCAAGTAGATTTGCACACAGAGATGGACAAGAAACCATGGAGATGCATGGTATTCATATTTTTAGAAGCTGTTCTCTAGGATCAGACGCCATGGGATTGCTCATTGTGCTGATGATGGCTATCGTTTTGCTCTGGGAAAGGAGCTGGCCTCTAGAAGCATTTATTCTAGAGGCCATTGTTTATTCTCTCTGACTATAAGCTTCCATCTGCAAGAACTATTTTATCTGATGCCTCTCTGGACAATTTCTTTTTTTTTTTTTCCAGGGCTGAGGACCGAACCCAGGGCCTTGCGCATGCCAGGCGGGCGCCCTTCCGCTGGGCTAAACCCCCAGCCCCTCTCTGGACAATTTCATGTGTTACCAACCATGCCATATTGTTTCTGGTATAATTCCTTCCATTCGATCCATTGGACATTGAATCTGGGATCAAGTTTTGAAGATCCTACAACTAATCCCAAGCAAAGGAAGGCCAGGAAGAGTAAAAAATTCATATTTCGAAAACCTAGGGAAAAAAATACAAGTGTCTGATTAGATTGATCTTTCTAAAAAGGCTTCTTATTCTTTCCTGAAGACTATGGCCACCGTGGTGCAAGAAAATATTTAAATTATGTTTTAAAACTTTTTCCAAAGGAATATGGAAGAAAATAAGAATGTGGTTGCTGAAGAAGCAAGTAGATGTTAGCTGGTCCAGTTACTATATAAAAAGTATAGATTGCTCAGAGTTTAAGAAGTAGAAATAAGCTAGGCACCACTAGTTCACATCTATAATCCTAGAAACGAAAGAGGTTGAGATCTGAGGACTGAAGTTCAAAGTCAGCCCAGGCAGTAATGATGTCCATAAGAATCTTATCTCTAATTAACCACTAAAAATCCAAAAGTGGAGCTGTGGTTCAGTGGTAGAGTGCTGCCCTAGCTAAAAAGTCCAAGGACAGTGCCCAGGCCTTGAAGTGGAGCCCCAGGACCTGCACAAGAAAAAAAAAGAGTGAAAACAGTGCATGCAGTGATAATTCATGGCTCAAGAATGATCATGGGAGTGAGTGGCTCATGCCTGTAGCCCTAATCTCCAATTAACTAGAGGAAAAAAAAGAAAGCCAGAGTTGGAGCCAGTGGGTCAAGTGGTAGGGCATCAGTCTTGGGCACAAAAGCTCAAGGACAGAGCTAAGGCCCCCAGCTCAAGCCACAGAAAACTCTCTCTCTCTCTCTCTCTGTCTCTCTCTGTGTGTCTGTCTCTGTCTCTGTCTCTGTCTCTGTCTCTCTCTCTCTCTCACACACACACACACACACACACACACACAAATAATAGTGGCAAGTTCCTTGAGGGTCTGAATCTTAAGACAACCAACCAAGAAATAGTTGTCCCAGGTTATTTATCAATGGTACTGTTAAAAATACAAGTTAAAAATAACAATAACAAAACAACAATAATAGACTCATTAACTAGGACGTTTGATAGAGGGGGCTAGAGATCCCCCAAATCTGGAAGGCCACCTCATACTATTTTGACTAATGTACAACGAAAGGAGCAGTATGTCTTGTGACCTACCATTTCTGAATCGGAATCCTTCTGAAATGCCTTCCTAGGGGAGCCGGGGACTGGAAGCTTGGATATCAGACCCTCCCGCCCCCTCAAGAAGCTGTCTAGGCCATGCTAGGAAGGTGCTGTCAGGCCTGCTCTTCTCACACCTGTCTCTGCCAGAGGATATTTACACAGGTGTGTAGGGTCCAGGAACCCCTGGTATTGGCAGTTGTGGCCCCGAGGCTGCTCATTTCACCTGGTCAGCCCCGCCCTTGCCTCCAGCCTGCACTGTGATTGGCTGTGCCAGCTGTTGGGCGGAGCCTATGGGCATTCTGTTTCCTAGTTTTCCGGGTAGAGGCGGGGCTAGGCTGTGCTGCCTCAGTAGTCTGGGGGTTGGGGTTAGAAATGTGAACTGGGCTCCCAGTTCACTCCAGTGCACAGATGTGTGTGCTGGTTGGAGGTTTGTGAAAGGAAGCATGTTATAATAAGTTATTCGTGATTTTTCAGCCTATCCCGTAGAGTTTTGACTACAATCTGCAGTGTTCTACAGTCAATGTTCCTGTTGAATTCACACCAGAGATGGGGCTGGGTCCATACCAAAGATGACACCCTCCTCTCCCAAGCAGTATTTTGTTCTCCTGGCCAGAGTGTGGACACAGTTCATCTAGTTGTTATTCATTTTCATTGTAGTTTGTTTTTCAATAATGTAACAAAGAATGGCCTTTATTCATTTTCTATGGAACCTTCATTTACAATCTAAGACTAATTCCCTAGGCTCCTTGTCTTCTGAGCCTTCAGAATTACTGAAATGCTATGCTTACAGCATTCTAGTTTTTTCTAACATACTTCCCCAAACTTTTCCACCTTCTACTCATTACGCATTGTCAAAGCTACTATTACATTTTCAAGAATATTAAAAATCATCGGGCCCACTTTTTTTGTTTTCTGTATTACCCAATTTTCTGATGCTATAACAAACTATTCAAGACTAGGTACTCTATATATATATATATATATATATATAGTTTTATTGAGCTCATAGTTTGGAAGATTAAAGGTCTATGACCCATGGCACTTGCTCTAATGAGTACTCCGGAACCACTACTCCTAGCTCCATGACCATAGCATCAGGGCAAGAGCATATATGAGAGACAGTTCCTGTGGCAAGAGAGGAAGCCAGAAAGTGAGGACAGACCAGCTTTGCTCCTTTAAAACAATCCTCCTCTTGGGATGGGAACCAGTGGCTCAGGCTTATAATCCTAGCTACTCAGGAGGCTGAGATATGAGAATCAAGGTTTGAAGCCAGCCTGAGCAGAAAAGAGATTTTTATTTCCAATTGAGCACCAAAACAGCCAGAAGTAGATCTGTGGCTGAAGTAGCAGAATGCTAGTCTTCAGCATAAAAGCTTAGGGACAGTGTCCAGGCCCTGAGTTCAAGCTCCAGGGTGCACGCGCACATGCGCATGCGCACACACACACACACACACACACACACACACACACACACACACACACACACACACCCATCCCCTTGAAAGAATTACATTAGTTCTTAGCTCCTCCTGAAGGCAATACTTCCAAATGACCTTCCCACTAGGCATCCTCACTCCTTTTGTGATAGATTTATTATTTTAATTTTGAATTAGCATAAATTTGTCACATGCTGGGGTTCATTGTGATATTGGGTGTTCACATGAGTGTTGGTGATACAGGAGGGCAGAGCTCAGTTTCTCCCCTAGCTGTGTTTTCTTCTTAACTGAGACCAAGCAGGTCTCTGTCCTGGGGAGATGGTGATTGAACAATGTTCATTGACTCTTCCAGGCCATTGTTCCCTGCAACAGCCTGGACTTAGGCATTTGAGTATGGTTGCTGGCCTTTGGGGCTGTACACTGCTCTACTTTTGCAGGTCCTGTGGTTCTAGCATGCTGGAATTGGCAGTGGGAACTTCAAAGGAAACCTAATCAGCTATGGACTGGAAAGTAACAAGTCAGAGAGCTAATGCCTCAAATTCTTTCTCATACCAGAGAGCATAGAATAAAATAAAACAGCAAGGAAAGAATGGCAAACCTTATTTGTGGCTGCACGAAGAGTCAACACCTATCTGTGAAACACACTGAAGCTTCCCACAAGGTTCCTACACGGGACTTCCCTGTGGTACATCAGCAGCTCATATACCCTCAGTGGAATGCTATTTGGGAAACCAGATGTAGTTTCCCCAGAGGCTATGCACCCAGACCTTGTGTTTTTTTAATCATTATCTTCTTCTTCTTACATTCTCCCCAGCACATTTAGATTGCATAGGTCCAAAATTATAACAGCAACACTTCACAGGTGCTATCAAACACCTGGCAGCTATGGGGGACTTCAAATTTTTATATATCTGATGTTGTAGACGAGATATTATTGTTTACATTTTTCTACTGGAAAATCAGAAGCACAGGGTGTTCATATTACTTGCCCGAGATCACAGAGGTCACTTCTGTTGATTTTCAGTTACACAAGGATTTGCAGCTCTTACTTCCTATGGTTATTGTGAGGAGTAATTAAAATTAAATTGAGGCTGTATGGAAAGTGCCTGACTCATAGGTTCTCAATACAGGGTAACCCCTTGTTAGCATTAATTTTTCTGTTATAACGATTATGACAAGGACAAACATGATGATGAAAATGATAATACTTGAAATTTGTGATAATAAAAAGCAAGACACCCTAGTTGGGCTATGGTGGCTATGCCTGTAACTGTAACTTCACAGGAGGTGGCAATCCCAGGATCATAATTTGAATCCAGCCTAGACAGGAAAGTCCATGAGACACTTACCTCCAATTAATTTTTAAAAAATTAAAATATATATATATATATATATCAAAAGTGGAGTTGTGGTTCAAATGGAGAGCACTAGCCTTGAAGAGAAAAGATCAGGGACAGCACCCAGGCCCTGAATTTAAGCCCTGGTACTGGCACGTGCGCACACGCACACACACACACATACACACACACACACACACACATACACACAAGACTCTTCCCCAAAAGATATTAAAAATTAAAAAAATAAATTTGATCACACTTTGCCTATAAAAGAGGTTTAAAAATTAGTGGGAAACAGACATTATTATTCACTACAGGTAGCTGTACACATAGAAATAGCCTCTTTTTTCCAGTAGGCAGTTCAACTTTCAGGGATTGATCTTACCACAGACCAACAAAAAACATGTACACAAAGATATTCACTGTAACATTTTTGTTTGTGAAATACACACAAAAGTCACATGCATTGATAGAGGAAAAAAAGAGACTGAAATTAATGATTTGTTCCAACAATAGAATGCTACATGTTCATTGACAAAGAAAGAAAGACATCTATGGTATGTATAACAATGAATCCAAAAGAGAAGAGTTTGCATTATTTGATGCCATTAAAGTTCCAAATATCTTTTCATGGTGGCCTCTTGTTACTATGAATATTTTGACCCCTGAGAAACCATTCATTGTCTTTCAATAGCTACCCCATTATCCCTTCCTTCTTCCCACACCCCCTACTTCTTTTCCAAGAAAACCAGCAGGAGTAGATGCCAGTAGTTCATAATCCAAGCTACTCAGCAGGCTGAGATCTGAGGATCACAGTTCAAGGCTATCTGCAGTTAACCAGCAAAATGCTGTAAGTGGAGCTGTGGCTCAAGTGGCAGAACATTAACCTTGAGTGAAAGACCTACAGGACAGTATCCAGGTCCTGAGTTCAACCTCCAGTGCTGGCACCAAAAAATGAAAAACAGTGTCAGCAGGAGTCTTGGTGCAGTCCCTGAAGTTTAAGTGTAGCTATTCAATTCCATAAAAACTGGCTACAACAGGGTGAGGTGGGTAGAGTCAAGTAACAGAGGTAGAACTTCATATTTTGTGCAGAACCCCTTGAATCAGTAGTGCTCCAGAGTGAGCTAGGCAGAGTACTATCCCTGATGAGAGGTTCCAGTAGCCCTG